ACACAAAAAGCTTCAAATAGGGCCTAGGACTAGGATCCCTGAAGAAATTGCGGTTCGAGGGACGGATCTGTGGAAGCAGGGGGTGTGCGATTCAAGGTCAGTCCTCATCCAGAAACCCTCGAATGCGTGGCTGGGCTTCTAGAGTCGGGAGTTTCCAGGAGCTTCAACTGCTGCTGGAGGCTATTTCCCACATGTTGTCTTTTGCCACCATGAGGGACGATCCCGTGGGCTCGTGGGGGCAATGGGGTCCTAAACCCTAAACCCGAATGGCTGAAAAGAGCCTATGGCCACTCACCCTGGTGACATTTCGAGTCTTCACAGCAAAGACAGGGTCAAAATCGATGACAGGCACCAGTTCACGCAGCCCCGACACGTTAAGATAGTAGCGCCGGGAGAACGAAAAACATGCGGTTGAAGTCTAGGACAAATCCACCGTGCTTGGCTGTGTGAGCAACAGCATCGACCAAAACGTCAAAACACGAAGTTCTCCACAGAAAGCCGAACTGAGGGCACCACATTGGCTCACAACCTGCCCAAGATCTAGACAAGGTCTAGATCCGGCATTGGACATCAGCGCCTCGTCTAGCAAATCCACCGATGTCTTCCTTTTGCGCGTTTACTCCCGGCATTTAGTGGTAGACCTAAACATCCATAGAAGGAAACAAAGAGAGTGAGACAAGAGAGAGGGAGAAAGAACGAGAGAGAAAACAAAAAAAACTACTAACGGAAAGATTGGCACACATGAGAGGAAAACGTAAGCTGTTGAGGGCTTGTGGCTTAGGGGCTCCGGGTGCAGGTATTTTGAGGTTTAGGGTTGACAGGGAGAAACCAGACTTATGCAAATTTTAGATTGTTACCTCAACGCTGTTCTCGAAGTCGCCGATCACGGATGAAAGGCAGAGCCCTCGACGGTTCGCTCATCGCCATGCATCACACCAAAATGCCTGGCCCTGACTGTAAGCCCGGAAACCTAGCCCCCCAGACTAACAACGAACCGCCAAAATAGTATAGGGAATTTAGGCCCCTATATTAAGCATCCATCCACTGTTCGCTGTCTTCGGACAAAGCTCCGGAGAGCGAGGCAAAATCCTGCGGGAGCAGCCTCTTGATTATACTTATAACTAGTTGTAGGCTTGCTAGGACTAGTGATACTGGTACTACTATCCGTAATATTAACATCATCATTATAAATCATTATAATTCTTGCCATTACTATTGCTACTATTACTACTATTGCTACTATGTCTACTATTACTACGATTATTACTACTGCTGCTACTACTACTACTACTACTACTACTACTACTACTGCTACTGCTACTGCTACTGCTACTGCTACTGCTACTGCTATGACTAGTATTACTATTATTACCTTTACTGCTATTATTTCTGTTATTACCATTATTGCTATCATTAGTATTATTACTATCATTACTATTTCTACTAGTACTATTCTGGTTATTATCTTTATTTACAGGTCCTGAACCACAAGTCGCCCAAATCTGGCAGATGCCTGGCAACGAGCGGATCCGGAAGCAAGAGTCTGGGTACCAAAACCGTGAGACTGTCCGGTTTGTGCACGAAACTTCCCATGGTTGTCGGGGAATTTCGAGAAGAGGGTGCTTGGCGACCCCCTGCTCTATAAGCGACCCAGCTTTCTTCGGGCCGCCTGATTGCACGCACACGCTGGACGCAAATGAAAGGGCACTCCCTGTGTCGGCACCTCCAGGTGCGAGATCTGATTTGCCGTGGACCTTGCAGCCAGATCCGAACGGAAGCTTTGAAGAAAAGCCCACAATCCCAAGAAAAGCCCTCAATCCCATAAAGCCCCATACAAATCGGATGTGGACGCGTCCAGCACGCTTCGCTCATGCGGCAAAGAGCTTGAAGCAACGACTCATGGATTCTCATCAAGGCGTTGTGGAGGGCAATGCTTTTGTCAGTGGTGCAGATCGTTCGGGAACGCTTGCCCGTCACGCTGAGAGCAGTTTTAAAAAACAGCAACCTCCTACATGGGTGCTGACCTTCTATGCAAGCTGATCATAACATTTGCTGAGGATAGTTGTCACGGTAAAAAAAGACGATGATGATGATGATGATGATGATGATGATTATGATGCTGATGATGATGCTAAGGATGATGCTGAGGATGATGATGGTGTTTGATGATGATGATGATGATGATAAGAAGAAGAAGAAGCAAAATAAAAAGATGCTGATGGCGATGAGGCGGTGGATACTGCTGGTGATGATGGTGATGATGATAACAATGATGATGATGACGATGACACTGATGATGATGATGCGACTGATACTGATGCTGCTGATGATGACGGTGGTGATGAACGTGATGAGATTAGGAGGATAAAGAAGATGACACGAGGAGGCAGAAAGCAAAGGCGGGTGGCAACCATCGAACCTAACTGTCGTGACGTCAGTGATGAGAAGCCTGCTTCTGCTGTGCTCATCAACAACAGTACATGAAGCCCATGGATTAGTTTGAGTTCGTCGCAATGCCTGGATAGTGTTTTGCATGTAGAATGAACTCTTGCTGTGACATGTATGCCAGGTGCGTCGGGAAGGCGGTCTCCTCCTAAACAAGGTCATCACTACTACCATCATCACCACGATCGGAGTCGTCTTGGCCATCATTGCTGACTGCTTAGCCACAGAACTGAAGCCTGAACCTTGCTTGTGTTGAGCTGGGGCTTGGGGCAAAAGGAACGTTGATCCGACGAATACGTCGAGATTGGGCTGAAAGATGTAAGAGTAATGCTTGCAGATTCTATCGCACATGCTTCTACAATGATCGGATCAGCAATTAAGCTAAGGCTCCAATATGGGGCTGAAAGCGAAAACCGTTGGCGAATAAACTCTTTTCAGAACACTCTGTAACACTAAATCCCAAGTCACCCCCTAAGACCCTGGCAACGGTTGGGGTTTAGGTGTGCATCTCTTCACTGATCCTCTATCTACACTGAGTCTTGCGCTTCGAGCTCTAAGCCTGCGAAAAGCTGGCGACAGGCTCGTCTATTGAATTGCCTACACACTACCCTGCACACCGAGGAGGGCGCCGCACAACTCGCCTTGACCGGAACGCAGACTAAATCCTTCTGATGTGGGGGGAAGTGCAGTCCTACACCTAGTGTTCCTACTGTTACTTTGACAGTGCTTTGCTGCGCTGGCTGCTAGCATTCCCGACATTCCGACGGGACTGAGGTTCAAGCTTTCAGGTCGAGGAATTTCAGGGTTTCAAGTTTTGCACTTCCGTGCGGTGTCTGCAGATTGGTGCGCCTGCTGACTTGAGCTGTTGCGGTATCTTCGGCAATCGGGCCTAGGGGGTCAGGGTTTGGGGTTGCGAGGTTTTGGACACCTACGTTTAAAACGAAGTGCCGCTCAGAACTGCCACTGCTTGCGAGTGGCCACAGCAGTCCCCCTATTCCAATCTCATAAGCTATAGGAAGAAGTAGTTCGCAGAAGTATGCACCTGCCTGGATCGCTGTAGATGGTAGGTTATTGAAAAAGCCGGAGGCGGCGAGAAATGCGGCGAAGAGCCATCAGCCCTTTTCCGACACTTGATCGCCCTAACAACTCAAACATGACAAGATTATAGCCAAACAACTGACAGTTTTGAATCGCTGAGACACGACCAAGCAGCTCGTAGCTTTCACAAGAGAACCCCGACTAGGATTGTAGATCCGACACCGAGGAGTTCAGAGTCTTTGCTGCACATAGCTTCTTTCCAACGGGGTTCGGAGGAACACACGTTTGCAGTTGCTTTTGCAGGAGTATCTGTAACACAAATCTGTTGCTGCTACACCAGTGTCACAAGCCGTTCCGGGGACATGCTTTAGCATGACTGCTGCTAGACTCACTCCACAACGGAAGAGCCACTTGGTCCCAAGGCGATGTCTTTGGAAAAAATGTGGCCCCGGCCACTACCCACAGCCTGCTAGAAGGCCTGGTACTCTAGGATCCTTAAGGGAGAGTGCTCAGCGGGGGGAGCGTGCTAGGGATCCCCACGCAACCTTACTTCAAACGGGTTTGACTTTGACATGTTGGCTCAGGAGGAGATTCCCCCGGATCTGGCCGGACTCAATGTCGGGGCCTTATTAGTGAGAATAGGGTTTTGGGGATTCCTTTGTATACTTATAGTAGAATTTACCCCCAAGCCCTCAGGCCGCTATAATACACTAGGAATTCAGGTTGCGGATCCTCCGGGTCCAGGTCGAATGGTGGATCTGGATCTCCAGTTCAGGATCTGCGGGAGGTTCTATATGGCCCCTTTGCGTGGGAACCTAGTCCGAAGAAGCTGCTGTCAACGCAGCTACCCTGGCTCCAAAACAAACCGTAACAAACCCTGAACCCCCATGGCAGCGTTCCCTTCGGATGTTCGGTTCTGTTCAGGGGCTCAGTTTTCGCGGCGGCTCGAGTTAGGCTGGAGGCCGAGGATCCGGGATCCGAGGCTTCGATGCGGGGAGGCGTCAGGCTTGCGGACTCTTTAGGGCTTTAGGGTTTAGGGGGTTTCGGGTTTAGGGTTTATGGGTTTAGGGTGTTGAGTATAGTGTTTTGTTCAGCACCGCACCTTGTTCCTCTATGCTGCAAGGTTGTGCTGCACACGGGTTTCGGATTTAGGGTTTGCATCCGAATCCTTTTTGTGCAAGGACTCGCTTGAGCCGTGAGCACGCGGGGTTGAAACATCTTAGGTGTTAGCTGTTAGGGACTGCGAGAGACTTCATGTTATCAAGGAAAAACTACTGCGGATGCTCCTCGATTCATGCTGGCCCAAGACTGCAGAAAGTGGGTATAAATTGGCGGCGTTACTTAACGCCAATCGCCTCTCCTCCCGGGACAGTCTCCGGGAGTTTTCAGCTTAAACAGTCAAGCCTTCTTTTGCAAACCCAAGCACCCAGATGTTCCAAAGCTCTAGAAAAATTCGAGTCGCACATCCTGAAACCCTTAAAGCCCTACCCAAGCCAGGCAGCTGTGGTGGTATGCACTCACTCTGCTATGCGTTGGACAGGCCCTGGTTCGAGAATCCCACGTCCTCAGAGCTCTCTCTGACGCGGGGCTTTCGGGAATATAGTACTGTGGGCTATGGAATTTAGTCATAATTGGATTTGTCATCAAGAGTTGTCGGTGTTCGGCGTTTAAAGGGGCCGGAAGGGGTTTTCATTCTCCGAACGAACTTTCAAACTCTTGTCATGTCCTGCCCCTCCCAAGTGTCGCGGCCCCTCACTTCTGCAAAAGCCAAGAGAGAGCATGGTGTTGTGGCAGCCCCTAAACCCTATACCCTAAACCCCCCTAGCTAGCTTTCTTGGCTCGGTCTCCAGGCAGAATTTACTCTCTTCTTCATGCTTCGGAATTTACGGCTCAAGGTTTTGGACAACATCTGAGAGAGCAGAAGTCTCGGAGGCCCACTTCGGACGTGCTTTGGAACGCATTGAGTTGGGCTTGCAGGTCTCGAATCTTCACCTGAACGCAAGCGGCTGCCAGCGGAATGGAAATGTACCAAGCTCGGATAGCCACAGGAGCAGTGGAGGCGCGTGTGGTGAGGCGGAAGCTGCCTCGGCAACCGGACCTCAAACTGAGCTCCGTGCCACAAAGGAAGGCCGTTGCGCACCACTTCTGCGCAGGTGCCCGATGCATCGACTTTGCCATGTGTGACAATGCGCAACCTGTGCCCAGCTTCCTTAGGCATACGATGTGCGGACAGGAGCTCTACGCCACCCAGAGGATGAGGAAATGTGAGCCGGGCATGGCAGTATCACAGGTGGCGCGGAGGACTGTGAAAGCCCAGCTTGGGAGAGGAGCGTGTGAAACGGGTGCGTCTGAAGCACGCACTGCCATTTTTGGGTTCAGAGTTGGGGAGATTGAGAGTTTTTGCGACTTGAGTTTGTGGAAGAGGCGGCTAAGGGTGTAGCACATTCGCATTGAGGCGTCGATTCTCTCGACTCTGACAGCTCAAGAATGAAATCCGTGGGGTACAGCGTCTCAGATTATGCTTCGGGCCTACAGCGAACAACTGTGAACAAGCTATGAGCGCGCAGCACGTTAAGAAACTCGGGTGATACAGGACTACGATTCCCCATCTATCAGCCTGCGACTCGGAACGAGAGAACATTCCGAGATCCAACACCTCAAACTCATGTAGACCCGTTGTAAGAAACACGCCTGCCTTCAAGTAAGGAAAGAGACATTATGAATCAGGAGTTTCCATGCAGAACCGAGCCCCGCAACTGTGATCAAGAAATCCTGCAGAAGTCCCTGTGCCGCTGTCTAGACTTCTTGCGGCAAGGCTCGATCTTCCTCAGGAATTCCGTTGATGCACCCGTCGGCAATCTTGGAAAGCAGGAGCATCGGACAGTCGCAAAAAGCATTCGGGCATGCAGCACTCTAGGGAATGATGATGGTGGTGATGATGATGATGGTTTCTACTTTCTACTGTGACTGCACTTTCTTACCATGAGCATGCGGTTCTCGTGATCGCTGCTGCAATTATTCCTGCAGTTGCTACTACACCGTGCCTCAATAACTTGAGAGCCACGGGCTGGGACGAAAGCTCTAGTAGGGGTAGGACGGCGACACGGAGCTTACAGGAATAGAGAGGCCCTAGCGAAGCTCGTGGCAGCAACTGCGGAGCCAATGGAGCCGAAAAAAACAAAAGGCGGGTCCAGGCCAAGTTCGTCGAGGCAAGTAACGACACTTACAAATGTCTGATCTCAGCCCGGAAGATGCAGAAAGCAAACAGACAGACACCTTTGCTAACCATAAACGGACAAACATGTTGCAGCATGGCGCAGTACTTCCAGTAGTTCTGTTCCTGTCGCACATGACCAGCATCAGCAGCATCAGTAGTTTCGTTCTTGCCGCACATGACACGATGCGGTGAGCATCAGCAGCATCAGGAAGCACACCCAGGCCAGCATCAGCAGCATCAGAGGAGCCCCACTTCTCCTGCGAACATCTCCAAAATGCACTTACCAAACAAACCCAAATCTGGCCCAAAACAAGCCCCCTTGGCAACAACGGTTTTCCCAGCTCCAGACGGTGGATAGCCGAAAAAAACAACGAAAAAAAGCCCCCCCCCCGCCCCCGCACCCCCCCCGATAACCTCAAGCTCACTTCGTGAGGTATTGAACGAAGCTCCCACACGGGGAGCTTTCGTGATAACGACAGTAATTGCTACATGAGTGGAAGATGACGAGGATTGTGATTCCCAATTTCCCACAACCATGGACCGAACGCACTTGGGCACCCAGATTCTTTGGAGATAACTTGGTAAGTCCAGACCATGCATCCTGCTCGAAATCCTGAACCTGAGACTCGGATCTCTTAAAGACTGGACCTCAGCTCGCCTCCTGACACAACAAACAGAATCCCTGAAACTCTGGTCCAGAAAAAGCGACCTAAACGGCGAAATCCAGAACGCTGAACCCAAGTCGAGCAGCCATTTCGTGGCCATTCAAGCACGCCAAAATGTACGCACGGACATACCAATTGCCTTTGGCAAGTTTTTGAAGCTTCTCCTGCTGCGACTGCATGTCCTGTATAAATCTTCAGCGGATCAGGGTTTAGGGGCTGAAGAACAGGACGCCGGGTTTGGATTCTCAAGTTCAGGGCTCTGGGGTTTATGGTGGTTCACCCTCATGCCGTTCCGGCACCGACTTCGCAGACCACATCCCCAGGTGCCGACGGAATTGAATTGAGCCAACATCCCATGTAATCGCTCTAAACTGCTTGGCTTCGGAAGTCGCTTTGAAAGACTGGAAGGGATCAAACTTTGCCGCGGCCTCTTGAAAGAGTGCACTTCGTACATGCTGACCAGGCCGCATGGAGGATGAGGGCAGATCGTCAAACGGTAATGTAACATTGGCCATATCTGTGACAGACGTGACAAACAACGAGAGTTGAGTACAAGTTTTCTGCACAAAGTCATGCGCGCAACCTAAACCCAAGCCTGAGAAAACCACAACCCGAAACCCTCACCTCCGGCCCTAATTGTGCTGAAAAATGGAAACCCTGGACAAGGACTGCTTGAAGTCCTCGTGATTTCCAGCAAAGAGCTGCATCACCTGCAGCAGGCACGTGTAATGCAGCACATCGGGATTGAGGGGTTCCGGACTTTCATTCAGAAATTCAAGGAGCTTGGAGTTTGGCACTTTCGCTTGCAGTCTAGACTCTGGGGTTTGAAACTCTCCCCGTTTGGGCTTTAGGCTTTTCGGCAGTTTTCGGTCGTCACAGCTCGGGTTCTCGGTGTCAAGGCTACAGCCTTTAGGGCTCGGGGCTTTGGGCTACTGCAGGGGCCTTAATAATTAGAATAGGGTTTTAGCGCTCATTATGCTTCCTTTACAATAAGGAACCACCAAAATCGTATAGGTATTTATTAAGGCCCCTATATTCCGTACGGCATTCAGGGTTTAGGTGGGCACGGGGTCTTCTGCGAGGAAAAGGGTGCAGATGTTGGTGGCTGCTTTGCCATGACTGCTCTACTTGTTTGGTAGAGAACTCGGATCTATATTGGATAGGGGCCCTAATGGTTAGAACAGGGTTTTGGGGTATGCTACAGTATACTGTACAATGTACAAACATGATAAGGAACCCCAGGGAACAACATGGGTGCTGCTTCAGGCTTCTATATTCCAGATCTTCCACTCCACGGCACCTGCAGGCCCAAAACCCGAAGTCACACAGCTAGCACTGTAAACTGCAAGCAACGTGCATCCCTGAATCGACAACTTCTCGTTTGCTGCACACCGTGGTGTGTTCGGTTTATGGCCTGGGTTTGTTCAGCTTTCACAGAGTAGTGTTTCGTCCTTCAAGTTCGTGGCTTCTGGGAGTCAGGACCAAGAGACCAAACCACCTCAGCGGAACGACTTTCCGAAAACTGTTCGATATGAGAATTCGTGAAATGCCGGCCTCCCCTCAAATTATGAACCTCCTCTCAAACTCAACTCCGACATTCACCCGCCCCGCGCCCACATGCCTGTGACTTGTATTTATCGCGAGTTTGCTTGCGTGCACGTCTTGCTGGACCTTTGCTTGCTGGGATCTGAGAGGGGATGAGGATTGACGGAGTCTTTGAAACACTGATGCCGGTGGCCTGAAAAGGGGCCGTGAAAGCCCAAGATCCAACATCAAGAGCACAACGAACGCAAGCCCTCAACCCTGTTGCCCCCCAAAGCCCAGCTTTGCATGCTAAGGCTGCTAAGAGCTGGCACCAGACAGAACCCTTGAGAGCATCAGACACTCGTGCGAAAAGCCACGAAAGCATGCTCAAGCTGCCCCATTCCTCGGCCCTTCCTGAATCCCTACAGCGGCACTGCGACGAACAACCAAGAGCATCCTCGGATGGGACCCCTGGGCATGGAAAGCACCATCCTCCAAGCCTTTCAGAACACCGTCAGCCCACGGACAGTCACAAGAAACGCCTCCATTGTAGGGGCTCTGAATAAGGATCAGGCCTCGGAGTTTGGCACTACTCTAGAGTAGTGTTCATAGCTACGGCTTCTGGATGTCTGAAGCCAGGCCAATAAACCCAAGCCTCGCCGATTTCCTCCACCTCCCGCAAAAACCTCTGCTACCCCAAAACCCTCAAAAGCCCAGAAACTTCAAATCTCCCTGGTATCCTAAAATGCTCTCAAAGCCATCCAGCAAGTTAAACTCCTGCACCCATCCCACGATGGCCAAAGAGCCGTCCTTCCTTGCTGGATGGAGGTGGCAAAACGAACAACCTGGATGCTTCTGTCGTTTTCATGCGACGGGTATGGTGGTCAACAATCACACCAGTCGTAGTCATCATAAGCACAAAGACAACAATAACAACAATACAAATTATGATACAAAAAATGAAGGTAAAAAATAAGAACAAGATTAATGACAATGACAAAAATGAAAACAACCACCATGGTACTAGTCTAAAAAGATAATAACCCTGAAGAACTTGTTGCTTCTCTCCCTCAGTCTCTCACATTTGACATGACGGACATGAGGAGAAATGCCGAAAAGATAGGGCCATAGCCATGTGCAGATTTACGTTTTCAAGCTACGATGGCCATCCAGATGTGACCAAGCCCACGCTCTCTGCAGGACGGTCATAAGGAAATACCACGAAATGGATTCTGTCAACAAACAGAGGCCCCAGTTCGAATCTCGAATGCTGTAAGTCGGGCACAGGTCATTTGCTTTGATTGAAGCCCAGGCAAAGCGCGGGGTTTCGAGGGTGTGGGGCCAGTGCGGTCAGGTTTGGAGGGCACAGGGTTCGGGGTTTAGGAAGGGAGGCTTGGTTTCGAGGGTCAAAGGTGTGAGATATCGGGGCTCCAAATCCTAATACTTCGAGTCCGAAACAAGATCCTGCTAGACACAAACAGCCCAACCGTCGGACTCCTTACCCTTGAGCCTCAGGGCTGAATCGAAAGCCCTGGCAGCGGATCTTGAAGCTACGTGCCCAGGAGCTCTCATGCTTGTGGCACCCCGCGGAGCTCGCAAAGAATATGCACGGGTTGCCTGGGCGGAGCGGCAGACTGAAGGGAAGGGTGCTCCATAAAAGGATACATTAAACTGGTTAATCTCCTTCTGAAAAACACTCTTCCCCTGAACGGTCGGGATTCTTGGGTCAGGACTTTGATTCGTGAAGATGTAGGCCCTATGGTCTACGGCTTCATCGCTTGTAGCTTTAGATGTAAGGTTTGAGGCGCAGGGCTTGGGTAGGGTCTGGGGTGGAAGGGTTCTCGTGTTTGAGCCTTTGTCGGCGGGGGGTTCAGGGTTTGGTGCAGCATGTCATCGCATCTCGTATGACATTATGCTCGAATGCAGTACAGCATACCCTAGAAGTGTACATTATCGCACATCACGAAATATTGTGTTCATATGCTCTGTGTCTGATGCATTCGACCATTGTAACCGAGCGTGCATTTACATACATGTACAAATATTCGCGTACATGTACATACAACTAGTAACTAGATATACATACATGCATGCATACATACATGCATACATGCGTACATACATACATACATACATACATACATACATACATACATACATACATACATACATAAATCGTACGTACATACATACATATGTACATGCATAGGTACATCCATACATACATTACATACGCACGTACATACATGCGTACATACATTCATGCATACTACGCACATACATACATACAAACTTACTTACTTACGCACATACATACATACGTACATACCTACACGTACATACATACATACATACGTACCTTCTTGCATACGTACATACATATATACATATGTGCATATGTACACACATGGAAACATACATGCATACAGCATCAAAAGAAATATACACATACGTACATATATACCTCTATATCACAGACAGAGCATTCCGCTCCTCACCGACAAGCCCAGAGTGGAAAGGAAGTCCACGATGTCCCACCTTGTCCCACCAAATCCTAGCACGAAATCATGATCTGATTTAACAGGCCCGACGCCTCAAATCCAATTTCCGGGCTGCTGGACCTGCAACCTCGACACTAAAACGACAACTTGTTCAGGATAATGTCCCGCAGACGACAAAGGCAGCGGTGTCGACAGAAACTACGTGCACGGCTGATCCACATCGAAAAGCCAGTCGGAACCAACACAATCGTCCGTAACAATCAGCCCCGAGTTGCCAGGAAAACTGGAGGCCCTGTAAACACACCAATTGGTTAGGAAGATCCGATAGGACGCGCGGGCGCAGGGAATCTAGCAGCCCTCCATCGGCAGAGCTACATTCACCGGAACTCGAGTGGGCAGTAGACGTAGTAGATGCTGTGAAATCCGTCTCCACGATGGACGAAGACGGCGACGACGGCGGGACCTGCATCCGGCATTTTTCGGACGTCGTGCCGCAATTGAACGATACACTCCGAAAGAAGAGACCAACAAACGTTTACGGCGCTATTCGCCAGAAGAGCCAGACTAGCACCTTCAAACTCGTACCACTCCGAACTGAAATGAATAGCGCCGCCAGTACTGAGGCGCATGGGGTCCAACCAAAACGCCGCGATTGCACGTCCGGCGGAAGCGCGTGGCTGTCGAGTCAAGCGGCGTGAAAGGGTGGGTTCATGTCGTGCCGCGCTGCTCAAAACTCTCCCCCTTCCTTCGGTATCTCCCACCAATGGTCTGTAGTTGAAGCGTGACGTGTATTTGCCCCTGTGGTGTCCTTCATTTCTGGCTTCTTTGAGTCGGTATTGCAAAGGTTTAGGGTTTCAAGGTCTTCGGATCTTCTGGGCCTTTCGGAAATTCTGCTTTTTCGGCTTCTTCAGGCTTTGACTGTTGGCAGTCGGGGTCTTCGGGGGTTTTTCAGACTGTCCATGCTGGGGAGGGGGGGATGATCACGATCACGCTACTCTAAACTCCAAACCGTAAACACTGAACCCTCAATACCCCCGCATGAAAGCCCAGGCCTGATCCCCAAATCCCAGATCCTGCTCTCAAAAGATAGATGCTAACTCAATCTCTCAAACCTTACAGCAGCTTCTAGGGTGCAAGCCCGAACCTTCAAACATGAATATCGGGGCAAGCCCAAACCTTCAAGCCCTACTGCCTAAACCCGCAGGGTGGTTTTGACCAACGAGTGACTTTGCCTCCGAGCCTAACCAAAGCCCGCGTTGAAGCCTACATACATAATCTATGGCGTTTCCCACTGTTTTGGTGCTCTCACATTCCTAAATCTGCAGGGGTGCCCATGCGCCATGCACCCTGTAGTTTCCTGTCAGCTCGTGGCTGAGCTTCTTGCCTCCATTCACTGCAGGTTAGCAGTCAAGATTTGAGCCTTGTGGCTGTAGGACGAGGCTTGTTTCGCTTAGGAGAGAAGCACCATCCAGTGGAGCGATAGTAACAAAATCAATCATAAGACTAAGTGACTAAGGCTCATCATCAGTGTATCGTCTTCAACAGAGTTGTCATCATGTTCATCTGGCGCGAAACACGGCCAGATGCCCTGCATGGGAGGGGGTTGGCGGGGCGGGGACGGCGATACTTGGTTTAACGAATTGGTAAGTATTGGATACGGTCGCTACTTTTGCACTCGCGCTCTCGAGCTGTGGCACAGCGCAGGGACTCGAGCATTCTCCAGAACACAAGCTGTTTCAGGGAAACTAGGTGCCGCGCACTTCAGCTCTTGATGTAGTCTAAGATGCTCTGGGCTTTCAAAGTTCCCTGACGCGTTTCTTGTGGAAGTTGAACATGCTTCGGAGTGTATGGGGTATGGTTGAGGGAAGATCATCGGCAGACATGGTGCCAACCCTGCACGGACCCAGAAGCCTGCATCCCGGCATCGAAGCAATGGACCGATTCTCCTCGTTGCTCCGGCGCATCACTCTCGCCACAAGGCCAAGAAGAAAATCTGCCGCCAGCGGTGGTGCAGAGTTGAGGACTTGACGCTTGCGGCAAGGGGTTGAGTTACGGGTTCCGGCAGTGGAGCTTAGGTCCCCGGGTGTTGTCCAACATTTAGTAGAAGAGCTGGGGGATGACTGTCGGTCAAGGGAAGGCGCGGTTCGAAGATTGCCAAACGCGCCTCTGGTTGTGGGTTCGGTGGGTTCGGACATGCAGTTGTTGTCTTGCTTAGGCGGGTCAGGGCTGCCAGCTGAGGTCAAACAACAGGAGGCTGACAATGGCGAGGAAGGTACCATGGCACCGTAAAACCAGACGCCAGGGCAGCAGAACAGCTCCCACAAACCCTTGCAGGGTTTAGAGCCTAACTCCGTGATTCCTTGAACTTGGACCGTCAACTCCTTAGGTTCCTGCGGCCCTGAGCCTCACCTCCTAGCTCCTAGCTGCTGGCCCCTGACAAACCCTGAACCCTGAGCCTACCTCAAACACTTCAAGCTTCGCACCTGCTCCACTTTACCGAAGCACGAAGGACGTCCTGTTTGTCAGTCGGGATGGGTCTAGGGATCTTCGCTGTTGGGTTTGACGCGCTGAGTCGCATCATGGAACATTGCAACTGCTGTGCTTCTTGTGACACTCGCCGTGATGACCTGCTACTGCCGCTGATGATTATCAGTATCACCATGTCGATGCACAGGCGGGGTGGTGGGGAGCTCAGAGTTTGAGACTCAGGTGTCTTCGGCTGCAGTCCTCTTCTGAGGTCACCTCGAGAAAAGTGTTCCTTGCCAGGATCTTAGCGCATTTTCCAAACATTGAAGCATCCCCGCATTGGAGGCATGTAGATTTGGCCCAGGTCACATGTGGACTTGGCCAACCCAAACGTAAACATGCATTCCAAGTTTATATCCCAAATCCGATTCCCCGAACAGACAGCGTGAATCCCCGACAGCTGGGCCCTGAACCCTGAGCCAAGGCACCGAAGCCGAAGGCGATTCCACCCTCCCACGCCCGAGTCTGCCATAGCGTAATGGGGGGAGTGGCAAATAAATTAGTTCTGATTGAACTGTAAAACTGCAGCAGATCCAGGAAACACAACATGAAGAGTGACTAGCAGTAGCAGGTAGACAAACCATAGGCAAAGAATTTGGTTGAACCAAACAAACAACTATCATCGCGACAGCCGCTGCCGTCATCACCATCAACACAGCCAACGCCACGAACGTCGTCGCCGCCATCGACACTACATTCATCCTCACAGTCATATTGAGAGCTGCCATCATCACACGATCCCAGAATAGAAGCTAACGTTTACAGACAACACACTGCACCGATAAACCCTGAACAACAAGTCAACTCAGTTCAGTGGTCGCAGAATCTCTGACTTTGCCTTAGGGTTTAAGGGCTTTGGTTCAGGGCTGCCCAAGATTTTCTCTACTAGGTCGAATGTTTAGGGCTTGTGGTCTTCGATGTCGAACCTGTCGACACCAAAGCAGTTTGTCCACAAGCCTTCAAGCACCAAACACGGAACCCACATTTCAGGACAATGAACCCGAAAACCCTGCAAGCAAGGACACAAATGCTGGAGATGCCCTGAACTTCTAAGCCTTACAACAAAGTCCTCTGCAAGATAGGCTCCAATGATTAGAAGCCCCGCACCCCCACCCCTCATCTGAGGGTTTTGAGTATATGGATCTAAGGTTTCGGGTTTTGGGATTCTGGGTAGTGGATTACCGTCAGTCTTCGATTTGCTCAAAGCACATGCTCAGGTTCGGGCATCTGGCTCTCCTTCTAGGGTTAATGCACAGCAGCGCACGACATTTCGAAGCTGTCCGAAAGGCATCGCTGTTTGCAGGTACAGGGTTCTTGATCAGGAGCAGTTCGTCTGCACCAGCAATTGTGGCGCTTCCCTCAGTTGGCGGCTCGGCCTTCGTGTCTTCCATCCTACACCCGCTTTCCAAGACCCCAAGAACGTGCGCGGTTGGGGGAAAAGTGAGAACTCACAGAATGCAGCAATGCTGGAGCGAAGCTGCTGCTCGCCCCCCAATTATTGTTGGATCCCCTTGAGCAACAAAGACCGGAGCCACGCGTAGTATTTGCGCTGCCAGTCCGCACGCAGGCGCAATCATTCCCCTCTAAACTGGGCCGGTGCACTTGCCGGAGCTTGAGCGAAGAGTAAGTAGCAATCTGCTTCCGTCAATATACAGACTGCTAAACAACATACTCTAAATGTGTTCTGACATTGCGCTGGGAAACCCTGCACAACCTTGTACACCTCTGTTGGAGTCTGCATAAAACAACATAGCCATGTTTGCTGGGTCAGCACCACAACCTCAAACTCAGAAACCTTGGCCCTATCCTTGCGGGGGTAGAACAGGCACCGGCTTGCATAAGTGTCGTCAACTCGCACTTTGATCCCTACATTGCCAAGGTCTAGTTTGAGGCCTAAAAAATCAATCACACATGCGCTCGAAACGGCTCTTTTCTTAGAGTGTGTGTCTCTCTCTTTCTTTCTCAATAGGCTTCCTGTCTGTCCGTCTGTCTGATTGAAACAGACTCTCTTTGTGCCCCTCTCCCCTTCTCTCTCTTTCTCTGCTCATGGTGCTCCCTCTCAGAAAGTCAACATGCATGTTCGTGTGCATACATGCACGCACGCATGCTTGTCGGCTGCTTGTGCCTTTCGGGTCGGAGCTTTTTATGTGAAGTGCTCCCTGCTGCAGACCCGCCGCGATCCCACCAACTACGTGCCAACATGCCAGTTTGGAGGGTCTAGGGGCGATCGCTGAATTCGCGGCCGTCCAGTGCGAAAGACATGGACGAGATTTGGTATCCAGCTTGGGTTCGGATCCGAGCAGGCTCTTTGTTGCTAAGGGTTTAGGGTTTAGAGTTTCGGGTTTATAACATACCCTCATCTTGACGGCATCTCTGGGAGTATGATGACAAGTGTTGCGACGTTTTATTCGACTCCTCCTCGTAATCATAGTTACCAACCCGGCAATGTCATCTGCGATCACGAAAAAGAGCATGCTCATTTCTACTTCTGTGACCTTGTCTTCATTTTGCTATGCCTTCCGTCAGTGCAGCCATTCATGAAGCATGCAAAGCCGCCATGACATTGAAAGCCGTTAACCGCCATCGTTGCCATTGCCACCACTGGTGTCTTTGCTAGTGTTACTCCTTCAACTCGTTTTACTTGCAATAGATGGCCCTGTACAAAATGGCCACCAGTTGGTGAATCAGTAGTGCTGTATTTGCTGATAGCGGCAACTTGAGCACAAGGAGGAGTAATGATGGAAGTGCTCACAACTGTAACTACCCTTGCTACTACCACCACACCACCACAGCCACACCACCACGGCACCACACCATCACCATCCCATCATCACTACCAAGGACTGAAGCTCCCCAGATTAACCCTGTTACTTGCCGATGCTGCAAATCCTCCCCCGCAAGTCTAGAAAGCAGAAAAGCCGTCGCCCTCTGACTCAACGGAAGATGAGGCTTTGTAAGGGTTTCAAATTTTTTTGGTTTATGAGCGCTGAACCAAGTTTCAGAATTTCAGCTAGGTTCATCCACTGACCTGAAATCCAGAAACAGCCAGTCCTTGTTCTCGTCCCTACCGGTTCAAGAGCCGTACGACTCGGAACTCTTAAAACCCCAAGCTCGGGATGAAAAGTTCTTCCGTTTGCGAAGACGTTACCTTGTTCATCGAGGTCTTTTGAGGCCCGCGGCTCACACGCGAAGGGGCTTCAGGCTGCGGTGATGCACGCTTCAGGTCGGAGGACTTTGGTGAAGCGTGCGCGGACTTCGGAAGACCAACGACCCACTCCAACTCCAAACAGACACGCAGAAAAGAAGGGCCGAAGACCCGGCATCTTCAGCACCGATACATGGCAGTGAGCATGTCTCAGAAGGCACAGCCTCTGAGGCTGCCCGGCCTGTGACCTCACATGTGCTGAAGGCGCTCGCCGGAGCAGCCTCTAAAGTTTCAACCGCATGCGAAAGCCACATAACAGCCTGTAAATGCTATTGTGTTCTGAGAACCAGGAGGCCAGCCAACCAACCAGAGCAACAAGAAGCCCTAAAGCCCCCGGTCGCCATTTCCTGATTCTTGAACACCTGAGCCCAGGGCTCAGCACGACAAAACGTTTCCATGATGGGAGGACTTTGCCCACCTCTTCGGAGCTCGTAGGACGTCACACGGTTTAGGGTTTAGGGTTTAGGGTTAAAGTCTGGTGCTCAGGGCTCTCTAGCGGTCTTATTGTGCTCAGGGCTCTGGATTTGGATTTGTTCGCAACATTCCAATAACCTCAAAGCCTGAACCCATAGCATGGAACCCCACAACTCCAAACCGAGATGAGCCAGATCCGAAGACTTAAACCCTTCGCTCCGTAGCTTTCTTGGCTCGGAGGCCAAGTCCTCCCGGGAAAACGGCCCATAGGGCCCGAAGCGCCTCCTTTCTAAATGCGAACAAAGCCTGGATCCGCGATGCAAGCTGTTTTAAAGCGCTTGGGGCCTTAAAGGGCTCAAAACACAATCAGTAGAGCTTGGGGCTTCGGGCGTAAAGCTTGGGAATGAAGTGTAGAGTTTAGTCTGGCAGGGGATTGTGATTGGTATACACGTTAGAGTCAGAGCTTGCGGTGTAGCCAGTCGAACGAACGATACAAGCAACTCTGAAGCTGAAGACACCGGGCTTTGCAATTCATGGGCGGGCAGCGCCAGGTACGCAGGTGGTCCAAAACGTGAGGCCTGGCCTGCATCCAGGGCACTGGGTCAGGAGCACACTATCTTCCGGGCTATTCGCAGCAAATATCGGATGTTAACGAACCCCACACCTTTCAAGCCCTCATACCCAACGTTTGCATGGCCTATAAGCTATACGAGATGCGTTAAACGCGAGTGGCTTCTTGACCCAAGAATCGAAAGCCTAAACCTTGACGTTTAGAATGGAGGAAACCCCATCCGAAACCCAAACGCGCATGGACACAACGAAACTATGTAGTATCAGTAGTATCACATAACAGCATCTACTGCCATAACTATGCTGGTATTTAATGTTTTTAAATTCTTCGGACCGTGGGTCCCGTTTCTCCAGAAGCGCACTTCAAGAAGCATGAAGCGCACCCAAGTAAAACCCTGAAGCCCGAAACCTCATGCCCTGTCCTTAGAATCCTTAGATCTCAAACCCCGAAGCTTCTCATGGCAGAGCCGGCAGCCACGAAAGTGGGGTCCGGCATCCGGCTACCACTTCCGGCCTAGGGGGTTTGGAAGTGATATGGTTAAAGCTTCAAGGAAGAATCGAACTTATGCAGGCTTCGATTCTTACCTCAACAACGTTATTCCAATCCCTCCAGATCGTACCAGATGCGCATGACACCTACCTTCACACCATGAAGACCTACCCGCAGGTGTGCTCCTCTCAGGAACCAAACGCCCGAGTGCAAAAACAGTGAGGCTATCCAGTCCAGTACTGGAATTTCCGTGTGTGGTGGGAGACCATCACAGGGAATGATTGGGCGGGGGGGGGGGGATTCATCAAAGAGTAAGAGAGATCTGCTCTGCCGTTCACCTTGCGGCCAGATCCGAACCAGCGCTCCGTCAGGGCTACAAGTAGACTTGGGTGGAGTTCAAAAAGAAGCCCTAAAGACCAGAGAGCCCTGGAGTTATCGGATGTGCACTCATTTGCAGGCCGACAGACAGACTCATTGCCAGGTCGACATCTCTCTTATGCAGCCAGAGAGCCTGAAGCGACGTTTCTGGGGGCAATAACGACAATAATAACAATGAGGATAATGATGCTGCCGGTGATGACGATGATCATGATGATGAAGATGATGGCGGTGATGGTGGTATCGATGGTGATGGTGGTGATGGTGATATCGATGGTGATGGTGGTGGTGATGATGATGGTGGTGGTGAAGAAGAAGAGGATGAGGAATATGTCATGTCATCATTTGACAAACCAGCATGGTAGTACCGGTAGTGGCTTTGATGATGCTCATGATCTTGCTTTTGCACTACCTA